GTAAAGTCTATGAAGAGTTTATTATACAAAGTGTTAGGCGAGGCGAGGCTTACATATGAGGAAATGAGTACGGTACTAACTAGGGTAGAGGCTTGCTTAAATTCCCGTCCTATAACACCAATGTCCTCCGATCCAACCGATTTGACTGTTTTAACGCCCGGTCATTTTTTAATCGGAGACGCTATAACTGCGGTGCCCGAGCGTGATGAGACGGCCACACCTGATAACCGGTTGGACAGGTGGCGAAGAGTGACAAAATATTCTCAAACACTGTGGAATCGCTGGAGTACTGAGTATCTGAATCAGCTTCAGGAAAGGGTTAAATGGGCAGGTGCGAAAGGTCCGTCAGTAAGAATTGGGACAGTGGTAATACTTCGAGACACCAACCTGCCTCCGTTGCAGTGGCGCTTAGGACGAGTGGTCAAGGTCGAGCCTGGTGCAGACGGTGTGATCCGCGCAGCATCGGTTCAAACCAGTAGTGGTGTATGGAAAAGGGCGGTGCGTTTACTGTGTCCTTTGCCATTTGAGGGGAATGCGACTTAACAAAGGCCACCCGGTTAAGACACGAGTTTATTTACATTCATTATTATTATGTTTATATTTTATATTTTGTTAATTTGTTTAATAGTCAATTTGAGTTGTTTATACGATATTTATGATTAGTGTTTAAGATACCTATTGATCATTATAAGTAGGTCCTATTATGAATTATGTTGATTATTGTATTATTTGTTACCCTATTTTATAAATTTAGGTTGAAAATTACTGTTTCAAGGTGGGCGGCTGTGTTCGGTACGATTCATTGTATTAAGATATAAGTACCTATAATTATTGTTCGCGATAGGGACCGGTCGGCTTATCTTTATTATGTATAAGGTAGGCTACGATCGCCGCCGGTCCGTTAGTCAGTTGCTCCAAAAGCAGTCCTGTAAAAACATCGAAACGCCGCCAACCGAATATATATTAAAATGTTTAATTCTAATAAATAAATTATAACCATCAATCGCGTTTTGCCTTAAGATTTGGTCCTTCACCCGTGATCTGTGAATCAATAAAAAAAAAAAAATAATTTCAACGCGTAAAGGTGCGATCAATGCAATTGAGGGTTGCGAAAAAAGTAACACGAGGTATCGTTGCGTTTAACCTCAAAATAAATCGAAACGTGTAGTGAGTGGTTCCGTGGCGTATGGATACCAGTGAATAACAGTCTATATAAGGTAAGGGCGTTATACATTTTATCCAAAGTAAAAAAAAATAAATACCTAGTCTCTACCCGAATTGTAAAAAAAATAGTACCTGCTTACCCTCGATAGTCTGCGCATTTTGTATAATAGTAACGCATAACTCCTAAATGGATGGAGTTGAGAAAATGAACATACGAAGGGGGCAGTTAAAAGCGGTAATAACACGCTTTCGGAGTATCCTACAATCTCCAGATGTCGACCCAGTCGAGATAAAAGCTCGACGAGAAAAAGTTGAAGAGGTGTGGGTAGAATATGAGCAGCTTCAATCTGTGATAGAAGCGCAGGAAGAGGTCGACATAAATGCACAGAATGAGTATAGGAAAATATTTGAGGACCTATACTTTAAGAGTGTGGCGGCAGCGGAGAAAATAATTACACAGACGAATGGCACAGAGGAGCGCGAAAAAGGCAAAATCGAAACGTTGTATAAAAAAAAAGCAACCCCGGCAGTTAAATTAGCAGCGTTAAATGTGCCTACATTTAACGGAAATTATCATGAATGGGCCTCATATTATGATATATTTTCGGTATTAGTGGATAGAAATCCGGACATAAGTGATATAGAAAAAATTTTCCATTTGCGAGCATCACTGTCCGGAGAAGCACTAGCGTCTATACAATGTTTGGAGACGACGGCGAATAATTATGCGATAGCTTGGAAATCTCTTGTGCAGCGGTACAATAACAAGCGAGTGTTAGTACAGGCACACGTAAAGTCCATATATGACCTTGAAGCAATGAGTGGCGAATCGGCGAGTAAGCTAAGACAATTTACGGACACGCTCAGTGGACACATGCTGGCTTTAGAGGCGCTAGGCGAACGACCCGGGGATTGGGGACCACTGTTAATACATTTAATCGCAACAAAAATTGATAAAACCACATTGAGAGAGTGGGAATCAAAATCGTCGCATGATAAGGTGCCAACTGTGTCGGAGATTATTCAATTCTTGGAATCGAAATTCAAGGTTTTAGAAGCCATAGAGGTCGCAAAAAACATAAGTGTTCGAGCGCAGCGGCCTATTGAAAACAGTGCGAAAAAATATTATGAAAAAGGAAGCGAGTCGAAGTCGTTCGCGTCTACGTCAAAGTTAAAATGTTTTGTGTGTGGATCAGAACATACGATTTATAAGTGCCCTACATTTTGCGGTTTAGACATATCGGATAGAATAAAACGCGTAACGGAGCTTGATTTATGTAAAATTTGTTTACGTAAACACGACGGTCGAAAATGTAACGCGCGATTTTGTTTCAAATGTGCAAAGCCGCACAACACGCTGTTGCACTTGTCTGGAGTGGGAAATAAATCGACGACAAACGAACAAATACAGGTTCAGTCGACAACAGCTGGTTTGAATATAGCAGGAAAGAGCGATGAAGAGTCAAAGTCCGTAAGTGCGCACGCGTCGGTAATATTGGACGATCGTATTTTATTGGCGACAGCGATAATATTATTGCGTGACGAGATAGGTAATTTGGTACCCGGACGGGTATTACTAGACTCTGGGTCACAGAGTAATTTAATTACTGAAGAAATGGTTCAAGTGCTAGGACTAAAGAAAAAACGTATTAATCATAGCTTATCGGGAATCGGAGATAGCGCGCAGACAGTGTCGTCGACAGTGAATACAACGATCATGTCCAATTATAACGCATTCACATTATCTACATCGTATTTAGTCGTAAAACGCATAACGACAAATATACCGTCAAGAGTGTTTAAAGGAAATTACGTAATTCCTAACAATATACAGTTGGCTGACCCATCATTTTTAAAACCACAGAAAATAGATCTATTAATTGGGGCCAATCACTTTTTCGATTTAATGCAATCTGGATGACTTAAACCAATAGCGGAGGGACCGGTGTTCCAAGAGACGTGCTTGGGATGGGTGGTTTCAGGTCCGTTAGGACTTCCGGAAAAATACGAATATGAACACTCGTCCAGTGCGATGTGTTTACTGACGGGTGAGACTCCGGAGACAGATTTGGAAAGAATAATTGTGACATTCTGGAGGCTCGAGGAGTATGGAGAAAAAAAAGTATACACTTTGGAAGAAAAGGCGTGTAAAAATGATTTTGACAAAAATGTCAAACGGAACGGTAGTGGTAGGTTTGTCGTACACTTACCATTCAAAAAAGATAAACCTAAATTAGGAAACTCGTACGAGATAGCAAAGCGTCGGCTGTTATCGTTTGAAAGGCGTTTCCAGAGGGATCCGAAATTAAAGACGGAATATTGTAATTTTATGTCTGAATATGAAAAACTTGGGCATATGGAGATTATCGGTGAAGATGATAACGGCAGCACCGGAGAGTCATACTATATACCGCATCACGCAGTCCGTAATGAAAATAGTACTACTACAAAATTACGCGTAGTATTTGACGCATCGTGTAAAACCGATACGGGCATTAGTCTTAATGACATTTTAATGAAGGGGCCTGCGATTCAAGACGAGTTGTTATATATATTAGCGCGTTTCCGGACGTATAATTACGTTTTATCGGCGGATATAGAGAAAATGTATCGCCAGATTTTGGTCACAGAAAATCATCGAAGTTATCAACGCGTATTATGGCGAGCAAATTCAACGCAACCGATACAAAATTATCAACTTAATACGTTAACGTACGGCACAGTTCCCGCATCATATTTGGCAACGGCGTGTTTGGAAAAATTGGCAGAAGCTGAATACGAAAATTATCCCGATGTGTGTTTGTCAATCGTAAGAAATTTTTATATGGACGATTACTTAGGGGGTGCCATGAATAAATCGGAAGTATTAAAATTACGAGATAATCTTACGACAATTATGAAAAATGCGGGCTTGGTATTGCGTAAATGGATGTCTAATGTTAGCGACCTAATCGCAGACGTTCAATGTACCAGCGGCGGAGTGCGGGCGGTGGGCGATACTAGGTCAACAAAGATATTAGGACTAAATTGGAATTCAGATAATGATGTGCTGTTATACACCGTGCGCCAAATAGATGATAAACTAATAACAACAAAACGAAAAATATTATCCGAAATCGCGACCATATTTGACCCGTTAGGACTACTCTGTCCAGTAATAGTAAATGCAAAGTTAATAATGCAAAACCTGTGGCAGGTAAAGGCTGGTTGGGATGAGCCACTACCGGAGAGCATTCAAAACGAATGGCTTAAATGTCGGGACGGCCTGTCACAGTTAAACGAAATATCAATACCACGAAAAATAATATGCGACGGTATAAAGATAGAATTTCAAGTACATGGTTTTGCAGATGCGTCCTTAAAGGCGTA